AAAAAAAAAAAAAGATCCCGCCACTGCACTCCAGCCAGGGCGACAGAGCGAGACTCTGTCTCAGAAAAAAAAAAAGAAAGAAAGAAAGAAAAAAAAGTAGTTAACTCTGGGTAGGATTTGAAGTGATTTGAACTTAAACTTTCATCTGTGTCTTTTTTTTTCCTCCATTAATTGGATATGATTTCGATAATCTGAAAGGAAATGGAGCTGTTTTCTTTTTTTTTTTTTTTTTTTTTGGGCGGGGGTTTTTCCTTTTTTCCCCGGGGTGGGGCGGATGGGTGTTACCAGCTCTCCTTTCTATGCTTTGTGGGTTCAGGCAATTCTCCTGCCTCAACCTCCTGAGTAGCTGGGACTACAGGCACGCGCCACCATGCCCGGCTAATTTTTTGTATTTTTAGTAGAGACGGGGTTTCACCATGTTGACCAGGATGGTCTTGATCTCTTGACCTCGTGATCCACCCGCCTCGGCCTCCCAAAGTGCTGGGATTACAGGCTTGAGCCACCGCGCCCGGCCAGGAGCTGTTTTCATTCTGGCAAAACAAGTGCAAGCAACTGATCTGGAAAACTGTTTGCAGTGACTTCGACACAGGGTTACGTCTTTATGATTCAAAAAACTCTTACAAATTATTAAGAAATAATTGAAGATCCCAGTGGGGTTGAGGAGAGAACACGGATAGACCATTCATAACATAGAAAACAGAGATGGTAAACAAACATATGGATCATTATTCAAATTCACTTGTAATCAAAGAAGTGTAAATTTCAATAATGAGCCAACATTCATTTGTTGTTAAATTAGTGAAAGTTCATTGCTGTGTTATTTATAATAAAGAAAAAATAATATCAATAAATTGTGGTACCTTATTTTGGAACTGTTAAAAGTGGAAGGCTGTGTAAATTATGCTGCAACCTGGGAACACAGAACATTTATATGAAGGAATTGAAGAGTTATGGGTGGGGTGAGGTGGGGTGGGGTAGGGTGGGGTGGGGAGCAGGGCAGAATTGTTCAGGTGAGGAAGATCTGGGTTCAGTCCAGCTCTGCCACTTAATAAGTCTGTGATCTTGGGCAAGTTGCTTAGCCTCTCAGCCTTGGTTTATTTTTTTCTCTATGGTTGTAAAAGTATGTAAAGTACCTGACACAGAACCTGGTGTGTAGTGTTTATTCAGTAAATGTTTGTTGAATGAATGAGTGATAGTTACTCAATGCTATATATAAAAGAATATGTATGAAGAAAGACTGGAAGAAAACACAGCAAAATAATTACTGGTTATGATAGGGTGAAGAGAACGTGAGTGATTTAAAAACTTCCTGTTTTCTGCTATTTGGTGATATAATATTTCTAATTGAAATAATTACCTAAGTTCATACCTAATCTCTTTCTTTCTGGGTGTCCTGTTGTACTTACTGTTTGATAAATTTTGAGATGTTTTTCTTTTCTTTGAGACAAGGTCTAGCTCTGTCGCCAGGTTGGTGTGCAGTAGTGTGATCATGGCTCACTGCAGCCTCGACCTCCTGAGCTCAAGCAATCCTTCTGCCTGGGCCTGCCAAAGTGCTGGGATTATAGGCATGAGCACCATGACCACCTAATTTTGTATTTTTAGTAGAGATGGGGTTTCACTGTGTTGGCCAGGCTGGTCTCAAACTCCTGACCTCAGGTGATCCACCTGCCTCAGCCTCCCGAAGTGCTAGGATTACAGGTGTGAGTCACCACGCCCATCCAATTCTGGATATATTATAAAGAGCAGAGCCAACAAGATTTGCTGATAAATTTGATGTTAGGGGCAGAGAGAAAGAAAAGGGTGAAGGCTAATTCCATGGTGTTTGGCTGAGTAAAAGAATGAAGGGAATAATGCCATTAAGTCTCAAAATTGTGCTAAGCATGGGCCACTACGCCTGGCTCATTTTGTATTTTTAGTAGAGACGGGGTTTCTCCATGTTGGTCAGGCTGGTCTCCAACTCCTGACCTCAGGTGATCTACCTGCCTCAGCCTCCCAAAGTGCTGGGATTACAGGTGTGAGCCACTGCACCCAGCCCACAATATCTGTTTTATTGGATTCACTCTGCCTGTCGGGCTAGGGCTCTACCCAAAGGACTTGAGAGAGAGGCCTCTGCTGGGAATATTCTCTTACTGTGATTGGAGTGGTTCCATGAGTATATGCATATGTAAACACTTAATTAAGCTGTGTACTTCACATTAGAGCACCTTTACAGTATGTGTATTATTCCTCACAAAAAAATGTTTAAAAATATAGTGTATTCTTTGACATCTCCAGAGGAAGTTAAACATGCTAAATGATACATAAAGATAAGGAAAGAGTTACTCATATATTTGCTTATTAAGATTTCCAGTCTGGCTATTGTAATTTTTGTTTTGAATTCAAAGCTAAAGTAAAATAATTTTTATTTACTTTGTCTTTTGCAGAGACAGCAGTAGCAGAATTTCACAAAAAAATCAAAGAGGCATTTGAAGTGTTTGACCATGAGTCGAATAATACAGTGGATGTGAGGTTTGGAAATTTTTTTTTGGTTACACTTCTAAATTACTGATACATGTCATAAAATACAAGAGAGTGATTTTCTCTTCTTTTTATACTGTACCTTGGATTTATTATGATATTTTAAGTATTTCTTTTCTGTGCTCTGTAAACTGTCTTTGCTAGCTATTGCTTTGATAAGTGCTTATTCTTCATACTCTGGGATGAAGAATCTGCTATATTCTCATTGCCTGTTCCACTGTATAAACTGTGAACTCTGTGAGTGAGATGAACTCTTTTTATCTTCACTGCTTGGCATGTAGTTGGCACTCAGGAAATAGTCATTGAGTGAATGAAGAGCATTTGCTTTGTAAAACACATAAATATGTATGATAAGGCCACGAATAGTATATTGCAGGGAAAGATTAATAATGCCTATCAATGGTACACTCCCCCTGTAAAATAGCAAAAAGAACCAAAACAGAAAAACGTAAAAAGGCAAGAGAAAGACATGAATACTGGTAGATCTGAAATGGGGGACACAGCTTGAGACCGAAACAAAACAAAAAACCCCTCAAAAGATAGAAGAGGTTAGACGCTCAGAAGAATTGTAGCGTTTGTGTTATGCACATCAAAGGAAGGCAATGAAGCCAGGCTCGGTGACTGACACCTGTAATCCCAGCACTTTGAGAGGCCAAGGCAGACAGATCACCTGAGGTTAGGAGTTCGAGACCAGCCTGGCCAACATAGTGAAACTCCGTCTCTACTAAAAGTACAAAAATTAGCCAGGTGTGGTGGCATTTGCTTGTAGTCCCAGCTACTAAGGAGGCTGAGGCAGGAGAATTGCTTGAACCCGGGAGGCGGAGGTTGCAGTGAGCTGAGATCTTGCACCACTGTACTCCAGCCTGCGCGACAGAGTCAGACTCTGTCTCAAAAAAAAAGGCGGTGAAACCATTCCTTCAGGAGGCCAGGCTAAATGAGGGTTATCTGATGAGATTAGAATCTCAGGACCAGAACCTAGTACACAGGCCAGCAAAGCAGTGGGAAGTAATTTTAAAAATGGTGCTGGAGAGGAACTGTTAGATGCGTATAAACCAGTGCCGTCAGGGCTGGGGCACTGTGCAGCACCGTACAGCTCCGCTGATTCTGATCACATTGCATTCTATGGGAATGACACTGTGGAACCCCAGGCCTTACTGTGGGCGTCCCAGTAGGAAATGAGTGGGTGCGGTGCTGCTGGTGGCAGTAGAGTTTGAGTTCGGTTGCAGCAGGCAGCCCTGGCATGCAATGTGAATGACTGAATATAGGAATGACAAGTGCCTTGACCTCAGACCTCTCCTTGAAGGGTTCTCCTGGGGGCAGGGGACAGAGGTATTGATAAAGAAGTCAGGGGAGATAAGGCTTTATGAGAGAGAAGGGGAAGGAGAGAAAAGAAACCAGCATTTGCTTGAGGCTTGCCCTCTGATACACTACCTGTAGTTGGGTGGAAGAGGGTTCATGTGGGTTACCTCGTTTTCATGTTTTTATTTCTGGGTTAAGGAAATCTCCAGTTTCCAGAGACGAGGAGAAGGTAAATAGTTTGCTCAATGTCACACCAGGGTTTTTCTAACTCCAAGTCTTTTGGTATGCTACATTGCCCACACTCCCACCCCTACTCTTTAAAGACATCAGGGACTTCTCCCCTGCCTTCAGGCTTCCTGACAGTAGCAGTGAAAGGAAAATCTCCCCAATCCCTTAGAGCAGTGATGCCAGGCCTTTTTTGGTAAAAGGGCTAATTCAGTAAAAATAAACATGTTTGTGGCTGCATCTTCTTTTCCACTGGAAGTTAAAATAACTTTACTGAGGCCCTGAGGGAAAGTGTATATTCTTACAACTTAAAGGGTCTGCTTTATTAATTAAAGATGGTTGCTAAGAAAATTATTATTGTTTTTAGCATTAAAATATTCATGCTGAGTATATTTGAGGAGTAACAACTTGGATGAATGTGGATTTCTAATCATTATTCTATGCTCATTTGTATAGCACTTTAAAGTTTATAATGAATGTTCTCATGCTGCTGGTATCATTACCATCTACTCTTTTTTAAAAAAAATTATTATTATTATTTAATATTATTTATTTATTTATTTAAAAAAATTTTTTTAAGAGACGGGGTGTCGCTGTGTTGCCCAGGCTGGAGTGCAGTGGCTATTCACAGGTGTGATCCCACTACTGATCGGCATGGGAGTTTTGACCTGCTTCATTTCTGACCTGGGCCTCCAGTTCACCCCTCCTTAGGCAACCTGGTGTTCCCCCGCTCCCAGGAGGTCACCAGATTGATGCCGAACTTAGTGTGGACACTCCATCGGCATAGTGCACTACAGTCTAGAACTCCTGGGCTCAAGTGATCTTCCAACCTCAGTCTCCCGAGTAGCTGGGACTACAGGCACGTGCCACCACACCTGGCTAAAAAAATTATCTTAAGGATAGGATCTTTAAAGATAGATAGGTTGGATTACAGTGGCTTGATCATAACTCACTGTAACCTTGAGCTCCTGGGCTCAAATGATCCTCCTGCCTTACCCTCCCAAGCAGCTAGGACTATAGGCACTTGCCACCACACCCAGCTAATTATTATTTTTTGTAGTGACAGGGGTCTTGCTATGTTGCCCAGGCTGATTCACCCCCTCAGCCTCCCAAAGTGTTGGCATTACAGGTGGGAGCCACTGGACTCAACTACTCTCTATAAATTGGAAATTAAGCTTTGGAGGCTGAGGTGGGTGGATCACTTGAGGTCAGGAGTTTGAGACCAGCCTGGCCAACATGGTGAAACCCTGTCTCTACCAAAAATACAAAAAAATAAAAAAATTAGCTGGGGGTGGTGGTTCGCACCTGTAGTCCCAGCTACTTGGGAGGCTGAGGCAGGAGACTCGCTTGAACCCAGGAGGTGCAGGTCGCAGTGGGCTGAGGCTGCATCACTGCACTGCAGCCTGGGCGACAGAGTGAGACTCCATCTTAACAAAACAAAACAAAAAAAAAAGAAGAAGAAAGAAAAAGAGAAATTTCAGGACAAAGAAGCCAAAAGGCTTGCCTGAGACCACCCAATGGGTTAGCAACCAAGTTGGAGCTCAAGTTCATTTCTTCTTTGCCAGCAGCACCGTCCAGTTCGACTGTGCACCCCGCACCGTGCTTCTGAGAATGCGGGGATGAGTGAGGTCCGGTGCTGCCTTTCCCAGCCTGTTTTCTCCGTTTGTAAAAACAGTTGATCGATCTAGAGTGTATTTTGGCTGATGATTAAAAGTGAAGGTCTAGGCCGGGCTCGGTGGCTCACGCCTGTAATCCTAGCACTTTGGGAGGCCGAGGTGGGTGGATCACCTGAGGTCAGGAGTTCAAGCCCAGCCTGGCCATCATGGTGAAACCCCATCTTTAAAAAGAAAAAAAAAAAAAAGAAAAAAAAAGAAAAAAAAAAAGTGAAGGTCTAAATAGACATTTTTTTTTTTCCAAAGTACTAAACAGCTTATTCTACTTCAGGAATTGTTAGGCCTTCTTTATAATACGCCACATTTTATAGAAGTGGCCATGTCTTATGTGCTATAGCACTGTACCTTTCAGCCTTATACTAGTTCAATACATATTAACTGTTGTCAGTTTATAAAATGATTTAATGTCTGATAGTTAAATATCTTTCTTTTTAAACATTTTAATTAAGGATTGAAGGCAGTATTCTGTGTCAGGATTGAGGAACGTACATACAAAAGAATGAAATCTTGTCATTTGTAGCAACCTGAGTGAGCCTGGAGCACACGGTGTTAACCAAAATAAATCAGGCACAGAAGGATAAACACCACACGATCTCACTCCTATGTGGGAGCTAAAACAAATTGAGTTCATGGAAGAAGAGAGTAGAGCTGTGTGTCGGAGGATAGGATAGACAGGGGAGGAGAGGCTGGCGGGGTAATGGACACAAAAGTACAGCTGGATAAACGGAAGGAGTTCTGTTGTTCTGCCTCATGAGAGGGTGAATATGGTTAACTATAATTTATTATATATTTTCCAAAAATAGAAGAGAGGATTTTGAGTGCTCACAACTCAAGGAAATGAGAAATGCTTTAGGCGGTGGATATGCCAGTTACCCTGATTTGCTTATTACACATTGTATACAGTATTGAAGTATAACTCTGCATGTCACCCAATCTGTACAATTATTATTTGTCCACTAAAAGGAAAAAAAGAAGGATTGAGTGGTGTGAAGAAGTGTCTTTGAATGGTGGGAGATATTTATTTTTATTATTATAATTTTTTTGAGATGGAGTCCTGTTCTATCACCCAGGCTGGAGTGCAGTGGCACAATCTTGGCTCACTGCAACCTCCGACTCCCGGGTTCAAGTGATTCTCTTGCCTCAGCCTCCTGAGTAGCTTGGATTACAGGCGTGTGCCACCATGCCCGGCTAATTTTCTTTGTATTTTTAGTAGAGACGGGTTTCACCATATTTGTTAGGCTGTTCTCAAACTCCTGATCTCAGGTGATCCGCCTGCCTTGGCCTCCCAAAGTGCTGGGATTATAGGCGTGAACCATCAGCCCAGCCCATTTTGGGAAACACTTTAAGATAATCTTATAAAGCTAAGCAGTTGTTTTTGTGGGCAGGCCAGAGAGAGCTTTCCCGGAGAGCCCCAGGCATTGGCTGTTCCTCTCCTAACTGCTTTATCTGTCAGGTGGAAGTTTGGTGGCCCTCTGTGTAGGGCTGACCTAGGCCCCCTGAGAGGTCTAAGACTGATCTAGGCCCCCTGAGAGGTCTAGGTCTTAAGAGTTTTCTGGTGGCTCCTCTCCTTTTCCCTTATCTCTGCTTTGCACAAATTGAAATATTTAATTTGAAATTTTATCACATTAGATAAAGGGAAAGTCTTGTATTGCAAATACTGGGCAACCACCAGCCCACAGTCCAAAGCATTGTGAGATGGGTCCCTGCGACTGCCCTTCCACCTTAGAGGGGCAGTCCTGAGGTCTGGATTCAGACCTACCGGCTTCCCATCCCAGCTCTGTGACTGCTGGACCT